AAACAAGACTTAAATCCAACACAAAACCAGGCAAGCAGCTGAGAAAACAGGAAAGTAATGTACTGTATTCTGTCTAAATCTCAGGTTAGCATCTCCCTTTGCTTTATACAAGTCATTACCATGATTAAATGACTTTCTACATCATTCAGATTGTAAGAGTCATTGCTAGTTTAAAATAAAACTGTAGAAATTAATCACTGAATTTATGTCAAGACACTTTGATGAGTGACCTGGTTATTAGAGACTTTGCTTCTTAGGGATGGGATCAAGAATAGCAACTCTGAAAAAAATTATTAAATATAGGAGACTTAATGGCCTCAATATAGGCAGTATCATCTGAGACACCCTGGAGTGGGCCTGGCATGGATCTGACAAATATGACACGAACCCTACAAGAAACATGTATTCTGGATCAGGAACTGGGGGCTAGAGGATACCCCAGAGCCTCTAAAAAGGTACTGGATACCTGTTTAAGCAACTAAACCCCATCTTTGATTTTCAGATGTCTTGACCGATGCAAATCAGCTTTTGTTTCTAAACCATTCATACTCTTAAAATGCCAGCCATAGCCTTTATTTCTGGTTTTGACGAGACACTGCTATTAATTTACTTGGAAACAGAACAGGGTTAAAAAAAAAGAAACCCAAAACTTGCATCTGGACTATTTCTCTTATGGCAACATTTCTTCTTGCTTTCTCTATTCTTCTTAATTAATTTTTTTTTTCTGCTGGTAGTGAAGCCTGGCTGCCAAATTAAAGCATAAATCTCTTGTATGGAACTGTGAGATGAGCACTGAAGAATGCAGATACATAGAGACTGTGAAGCTCTGAGCCGCACACACCAGAACAAATATGTTGCCTTCTTCACACTTATAAATCATTTTCATACAACAATTTGTTTTTCCAATTAAGTGCTTCTTTTGGGGAATGTCTGGAGGCAGCGATGAACAGGTTATTCCGGGAAAGTGTTGGCATTTCAAAACAGATGGTGCAAGTTTGTCCATGTTTTATTTTCAGTTCTACCTTCTACTTTGTTCATACTCAAGGGTATTTATATACTGCTGATTGTAGTGGTGTCTGTGACAGGTTTAAAAGCAGTAGCTCAGCTTCCAGGACTAGGCTAGCTAGAAGTGTTTTGACTGCCCATGACCCACTGAGAAACTGTTCCTGACAGTTTCCTATGATTGGTCTGGGTATAGAGCCCAGGAGTTGCAGAAGCCACATGTTTGATACCTGAGTGGCCCTTGCCATAAATTGCCTGCACTGTTGAGATGTACATTAGAGGTGTTTAAGAGTTGACAGAGTAACCAGAGAATTCACTAAATCCATGTAAGTCCTGACCAACAGACACCAACTTTCTGATGTAGGAAGAAAGGCTGCTGTAGAAAACAATTACCTCCAAGCATGGCTGGACATGCCATAAGGATGCTCAGTCTGGTAGCTAAATAGTAATGCAGCAGATGAACGTGTATCTTTGTGAAAAGGAAACTAAATGGTATTTCTCTGTTGACTGAACATGATACAAATCTAAAAAGCATTGGAGCTGAAGGTCAGATTCAGACACTGTAGCCAGATATACAGATATGGGACCCACACTGGATAATGCCCGTTATCTACTAATGGTCCTACTGAAGTAAGTAAGATGATTTGAGTGGTAAAATACTGCTTTATGGCAAGGTTATACAACCTGCCAGTTAGGATTCAAGAGGCTTCACATTATATATTTATAGGAGTTTGTGATTATAACTGCACACTAGTGTATGCTATTTTAGCCTAAAGGCTATGTGAGTGTGTCATGGATCAAAGGGTGTCAGCCATGCTTCATTCTGGTGACAAGAATGATACTATTTCATTTTTATATCGGTCTAGACATGACTCATATATTCTTGTTAGAATTCTGATTTTATAAAGGTCTTGAGAGATATCCCACACATTTATTCTGTCTCCAAGCAATAAAAATAGAAGAGCAAAGCCACAGCACTCGGTACAGCTGTAAGTTCAAGTTTAGTAGAAATATATACTTACTTTCAGTATTCAGTTATGCCTCAGAACACACTAGTAAAATAAAGTGTAAACAGAAACTTTATCACTGCAGATGAAATATTACCTGCAGAGCCACGTGCAGCCCTGTGGAAGCCAGGAGGAAATCTGGTTGCCTAAGGTGGACCTGGACGCCTCAGGGTTGCTTCACTCTGCTTCTAACCTGGGGCTTTGTTTTGCACAATATTTTTCAAAGCTGTCTTTTATCTGTGAATGCCCTCTGCCTCTGTTCATCTGTTGATGGCGTATTGTCTTGGCCTGAGAAAAGAAGGGACTGAATCCATACTGTAGCTTTCCGCTGTTTCCATCCCTTTGGAAGAGGGCAGAAGGTGTCACTGAATTCCCAAAGAGGTTGATGTCTTTGCAGAGACACCTCTGGTTTGACTCGAGCTGCCAGAGGTCAGAGGAAGCCCTGCATGACTGTTTGCTGAAGTCTTCATCTAGAGATGCCTACTGTCTGATCCTGAGGTAGCAGAGACAGCCCAAAACCACAGACATAAGCGGTTCCAAAGGGGTGCACCTTCCAGAATTGAGAAGGTGAGTAGGTCAACTGCTTGATTAGTGGGCAGTTGGATAAAGTAAGTGGTGTTTTAGGTTTATGAAAATTGTACTAATTCATGGTCATGTTGTAATTTAATTTGTAAAAACCTTTTGAATTTTGACTCTTCCCTCAGTTTTCACCTAGTGAGTTATAAGGGGTCTTAATCTCTGAAACTGACAAAGGTGCATTTGCTTTCAAAGAGCTCATTAGTGCCGTACCATGATGTTCTGTAAAAGCACTTTGTGCTTTTTCAGTTAAACAAAATCACTACATTGGCCTGGTTTTGGAGGCAAGGAGTCACACCATTCTTATGGGAAAAGAAACTGTTTGAACTGTGGAAATAGAGCACATTAATGCTGATGTGTGTTTTACTCCGCTGTTCGTTTGATCAATGCAGTTTCTGTATAAGCAAGTTCTTAGCGTGCACTTATCTTCTCATTTATATTCTCCTCATGTTAAGTCTTTATAATGAGAACATTTGTACTGAATGAAAATCAGTCCCGAGAGATGGCTGGGCGAGAAATAAAACACACTCACAGAGGAGCAGTAATTAGAACAATACGTAGGAAAACAAAAAGTGATATGCCTGCCATTTCTGGCATAGCAAAAAGGGCACTCTGGCATTGATAACCAAATACTTCTGCAGCAAGAGGCTGGAGTTTAACTGCTGGGTGCTGGTCTCTGCTCCCACTGCTGTTTATGTGCTTTGCTCAGTGACTCCTGGGCACAAAATGCATTAGCAGAACTGTTTGTTGCAAGAGACTCTCCTCATTGCTGGGAAATAAAGCCCTCTTTTGCTCTTGGTGATTAAGGATTAAACCAATCAAAAATGCAGATTTAGGGTAGTTAAAAAGAGTTGATAAAGAAACTACACATGGGTATTTCAGCAGAAGCGTACTTGAAATAAAAGGAGTTTTTCTTTCAGGTAAGAAAGGCAGAGATGTTTTGAGGTCAGGATTGACCCTAGAGATTCCAGCAAAAGTACTATTAGAATTCAAAGCCAGGCAAAGCTCTGCAGTTTCAGAATCCTTTTTATTTTAATTCTTTTTTTTTTTTCCCCAGCCATACAGAGAACTTCAGGCACTGGAACATTCAGAAGAGAAGAAAACATGCTGATATGATTTGACTTCAGTCATAACTCATGCACCAAAATGTAACAAAACGAACAACACCAAGAATAAACTCCAGCAGCTACTGATAAAATTCGAAGGTACCTGCCTCTGCAAAAAAAATAAATGATGTAATAAGTCAAAATGTTTAGAAGGCTGAAGGATGCAGCGAAGCAAAATGATAGTGTTCTCTGCATCTGGCCAGTGGAATGGTGCACAGCTGTGTTTGTCACTCAGCTGTACTGTACAGGCAAATGTCCTAATTCCCAGTCACATTTTGCAATCAAATGCATCTGAGAGGGGAGGCTGGAAGAGCATGCGGCCTTGAAATCCTGCTCTGGCAGAGCACTGTCGTGAAGGGCTACAAGAAGTATTCAGGATAGAGGCGAAGTCAAGGCAAAGCTCAGGGACATGTTCTCTAGGGGAGCAGGAAGAAGCAAAGGAACAAAGCGCGCATTTGAAGCTCCTTTTGCTAATGCATTTTATCGTTGTGTAGGTCCACTGAACTTCTGTGTCTAGCAATCGAAGTGGACTCAGTAGTCCAACCTTAAGTGTGCACAGAGATCTACCTAAGTTAATTGCAAATAATACAAAATTCTGGGGTACCATGTTGCCACCCAGCGGAGCACAGTGGGAAGCCAGCCTTCCTTCTCCAGAAGTGAATGGTTGACTGAATGCTTGCAAATGTGTGAATGTGATGGCTGCAGCATCAGGCTGCTGGCTGCCTTACTTCGTGCCTGTAAAAGTACAGTAAATTGGAATACAAATCAGGGGTAAGAGGAATGGAAATTTCTATTCCTTGTATAGGTAACATCAACAAACTTACTTAGGTTAATAACCGAAAAAGATCCACTTCAAGACCAGGCAGAATCATCAAGCAAATATGATAAGTAGATAAATTAAAATCTGCTTTACAGTTATGCTCTGAAATGTGATGTATCACTGCTCCAGGGTGGATGCTCGTGTTTGTAGAATGATTGCTAACAAAAGGAATATATGGAGGGTGGATAAACCAACATTCTAAATGAATAATACTGCAAAGGTAATTAAAATGTTTCAAAAGTGAAGGTGCAATAGGAAAAAGCAATTTAATTTTTTAGTAAATCCAGATATTCTTAACTTCACCCTTCCCAGCAAAACTTCAAGCACAGAACAGGTCTCTTCAAGTGCAGGTATAACTCCATTACACTTAAACCATAAAAAATGTGTTAATCAAAGAAACACGTAGCTGAAACTACTTTTAATGGTACATGTAGCAGACATACAGAAAAATATTCATTGCTCATAAAGCTAACATTTGTTAAAAATTACCTGGCATTTTTGTTACATACTTATTCTGTAATTTTCTACGTAGATATAGTAATATTTTTTACAGAAATACAGGGGAAACACTGAAATACAATGGGCACCCATTTAATTTGTACCTTTAAAGATTATAAAAAAGCAAATGAAGTTATGCACTTCTTTGAGGAACTGGAAATTAGCTTACCAAGTTACATACTAGATAGTTTCGGTATATCAGGGTTTAACACTTGCAAAATAACTCAGACTAAACACGCTACTGGACATCACTGGATTTAGTGAGTCACACAAAAGATATGCACAGAGAAGCCACAGATCAGTTTGTGTCATTTTGTCTTGTTGTCCTGTAATTTCAGGCTATTGGAAGACGACTTTTGTTTCTGGTAACTGCAAAGATGATCCTTCATAATTACTTACTAAGTTTCTGGGTTTTTTACCAGTGTAGCATTTCTGGACCATCAATGCAAATTAATAATTTATATGCATTAATAATTTACACTAGGGAGTCTGATGGAGTAACAGAGGCTGGAAGCCATGGGATTAAAGGGAAGTAGGATCTTCCCTGTAGTAACTGAAGTCACCAGGCTCACGAAGAGAGACTAAAAGAAGATGTATGGGGACTCTCCTGTCTTTGTGGAGAAGAGCAATGTGCTCTACGAGGCTGGGTGAACAACCTACCCCATCAGCACAGGAAAACCTGGGCTGGGAAGGTGACCACAAGTAGGTCTCAGCTCAAAGCATGTTATGGCCTCTCTCTTTGTCAGCTTGTTTGGGCATCTTTAACCAGTCACAGACTGCAAACAGGACAAATACAACTCAGAAGCAAGTGATAGTTTGTAACAACCCAACTTAAAAAATTCGAGTAGACAAACTACTAAGCTAATCATCTGCATGCTTCCCACCCCGAAGCCTCTGCTGGCCAGGTGGGCATTGGATGGGAGGAGAAGGGTCGGTCTCCAGAGTCCTCCTGACTGGAGCCTCCGTGGTGCTGAGCTGTCGCCTGCCATCCCTTCTACCAGTGCTGGTGCACAGACTGTGTGACCCAGTGATTCCTGGCATGGGGATCCTGCCACAGTGTCTCACATCTTTCTCAGCAGCCTGAACCAGAGTTGCTTAGGGGGCCTGTGTCAAAGCAGGACTTTGGCACCAGGGTAGGATAGCAGCTAAGTCCCAGCCGGAGGGAGTCTTATTACAGAGACTGGCCAAGCATTGCCGTGAGCCAAGGTAAAATCACAAAAAGGGAAGAGGAGCTAAGAAAGACATGCTTGTAGGTGGCCTCCTGCACCACATCACCCCCAGTGCCACAACATGACCGGCAACCTCGCCACCCCCCACGTTGTCATAAGAGTCATTCCCCATATCAGCAGACATTTCCGTACAAACACTGCATTAGTTTATGCATGAGCGGATTAATGTTACTATTAATATTCCGGACTCAACTGGTCCTTGCGAGGACTAGAAAAAGGAAGTTTCAGAACAGTCTTAGCTAACATTTGTTAATCATTGTTCTTGAAAGAAGTCCTACAACACTTGGCTCTGCTAAAGTTTGTTTGGCAAATGATTCTTAGCCTGTCTCCTTTTCTCACTCTAGAGAAATCCAAGCAGAAAATCGCTTCAACCATGGCTGGCCTCAGAAGGTTAATCACAGAGGCACAGGAGAAATATGGGCAAGATCAAGTGGAAACCTGAGGAGGTGGATGCTGAATACACAGATAAAATCTCTGTATTGCACGTAATCTTGTCTTTTCTCTGATTTGCCTGTGAGTCATGTTGCAGCCTGGGAATCATCTATGCCCCATGGAAGTGCTCATGTTCAGCTGTTTTGTGTAATTCATCCCTAACTGTCCATGTTATTTAGCTTGTAGTTTTGTATAAGACCAATTTAAAAATAAACATAAGCCTTGCAGAGACCTAGCACAGTCTGGTGTGAACGTGTTGCAGCAGCTGAGTTCCAGTCCCTTCATATTAAAGAAACTACGTATCCTACCAACTTTTACCCTGGAAATCATACAGATGAACTAAGAAGCTGTCAAAAGAAACATTTCTTAAACCAGGGAGCAAGAGTCTTACCACACATTGTATTAAGTGTACAGGTGGGCACACTAGGTTCTGCACCAAGCACAGGCCAGAAAGTCTCACCTGGTGGCTATGTTGAGACTCCTTCACAGTTACACATGGGCCACTTGTATCCCCTCCACTTCATACTCCAGCTACAGCAGCCCATGTCACATGTCTTGTCTTGTACGACAAGAAGGGTTTTGCTCAAACATAAGAGCACCATAAGGTGCTTAAATGGAGAGAAAAAGCTCAGAGTGGCGCAAACACAGAAGCTGAGCAAACCTGGGCTAAGAGACACCGAAGTTAGATTTAAAGATTAGATTTAAAGTTAGATTTAAAATCAGAGTAACCATCAGGAGGGTCTTTCATCAGATGAAAGGACAGATGGAGAAGTAGAATACCAAACCTGAACAATTCAGTATTTGTTAGGCAGTTGTTTATAGACTGGGCTGCTGGCTGATGTGTAAAGTAGCTGTATTTTTCATCAGACTACTTTAGAGTGTGTCCAAAAACTGAAAATGCCATTGCTACCCACAGGCAAATTCACCTAACAGTCTACAGGAAAAACATACTCAGGATATGACATTTACATTAGCAAAAATGGAAGTAAACTTAAGCCAACAGTGAATACTTTTAAAACTCTTGTTCCAAGCCTTTGGGATAAACACAATTAAATAATGGCAAAGTAAACCTGTGAACATAGTCACAGATTCATTCCACAAGTCTCATTATTGCTTTTTATGGGCTTAAAAATCATTATGCATAAAACTATGCAAGAATAATTGAACATAACATCAGAAAAACTCAGCATTTTTTGTTTGTTTTGTCTGTGTCCCCTCCTATATAATTTCAGAGCCAAATGAGAATAGGAAATCTATTCTTTCTTAACAGGTATTGCACATGTCAAACTGTAGTTTACATGCAGAAGCATATTTCAAACCAGAAATTTTTCCCATCTGCATTGCTCATGTGAACATAACAGAGCAAAGCTCCATGCTGCTGCCTTACAGGAGCAGCCAGCAATGGCTGCTTCAACAGGGGCAGCTGAATGTTTCTCTCCCTGGCAGATCCTCCCAGTTTCGAGCAGTCAGCCCTTCAGGGATCCTGTGACTGGGAGCTTGTTGTATCTGGAGCTGGAGGCTCTCATTCCCAGCCTGATTGCCAAAAATTAAAATTATTTCCAAAGAGCAGAGAAGAGACAAAAGAAGATTATGATAAAACACAGTTGAAGTCATAAGTGAATTAATGAGCTAGAGAGAAACTCGGTTCTATTTAACAATAATGAATAGAGTATTATTTGGTATAGTCCCAGCTCTCAGTCAAGGTAGGCTGCTAGATGCTGAGTGGATTGGGTTGCTCATTTGCTCTACTACTATTATCTATGAATCTGTCCGTGGATGTCCATGTCCTGTAGCATGGACAGGAAATGGCAAAGCTCATACTACACCATGGTTCTTAGCATCCTGTGGCAGGAGTTGCCCAAAGCACTTAAATACTGAGATTGACAGCTGTCCTTTTATTGCCCAGATGACATTTGGCAGTTGTGGTAAGGAGGATGTTCCCTGCAGCGAGTTGGTGGACAGCTTTGTTTTTCAAACAGGACACTGCAAATCCTTACCACATGGGAGGTCCAGAGGCCATGGCCACCAGCGGAGGAGCAGCCATGCGATTCTGCCTGGCATAGATGTGTTGCTATTAGCAAGATTTTCTTCTCACAGAGAAGCAATTTGGATAAGTCACACCCTCCCAGGGCAAATGTATTTCAAATAGACCAGAGGGTCAAATGCAATGCATTAGGCAAAACTGCTAATGTATGATAGAGTTGTGGCTGCTGAAAATAAAGACTTAATTTGAAAGAAAATGGTCTTACTGTGTTATTAGGTTAGGGGAAATGCTGCCTGAATAGCAATTAGAATTGAAATTACAATTTTTTTTCCATTTGGTTAGGGAGCGAAATAGCAAAGCCTCAGCTAGCAGAAGTCTGGTTCTTCTTAATGCACCAAACCTGCTAACCTGAGAGAAAGTATTATTCATATTCCCTTTCTGTCATGCTCCTTTTTTATATATGTTCTTTTAAATTATAGTCCTTCTCAAATACATGGCAACAGGCTGGGTGCATATTGTTATTTGGGGCTTTGACAGCCTGAATGCTTTCAGTATTCTCTGTTGCAGTAAGGAGCATCAGAGGAAGCTGTCAGGACTCGAAGCAAACAACAGGTTTGTCATACAGCAGATAATCAATCTGTGGAACATATTGAAGAAGGATCTTGTTAGTGGAAAATCTTTACATGGCTCAGGGGGATGAATGGATGAGTATTTGGAGGGGATATCCACTGTGGATTGATACAGAAACCATATCCACTTCATGAATGTTCCAACTGTAAAATTATTTCTGCCTTTTAGAATATGAAATTTTTTAAGTCTGTTATTCAGCTCATCTGTAAAAGCTGTAAGAATTTGTTACCTTTACTCCTTGAGCTTTGGAATGTTGCTGGACTATATGTATGATCGTATACACGAAAAGCGTTGTTACCAAGCTGCGATCAGATTATGGATAAAAATATAAACATAGTCTCGGTAAATTCAGGACAGCCTTTTGGAGGTGATAAGATGTGCAGATTGCTCTTTCATAGCCCAAGGGAGTTTTCATGCTTCAGCAGTATCTTTCCCACCACCAGCACAGAAAATGATCCTCCTTCCCCTTAGATCAATTTAGAGCTCCTTACTAACACAAATAACCTACTTGCTATTTCTCTTTTATTTGGGAGTGTTTTCTTCTCATATAGGCACTGTTCTGTATTTATGTATTTTTATTCTTGTTGGCCATTGCTATACCTCTTTAGCTCTAGGACAGGCCCTTTGGGCTGATGTGACTAGAATTGAAGACACAGTTGTCATTCCAGAGACACATGCAGTCTGGCATGATGATATTTTCTTCTATATCGCTATTTTGTTCCTAATAATTCCTTATAACCAATAGCTTATTGGTTACAGCCCTGAACTAAATTGAAATTTTCAGAGAAATACTCTCAGTAATTGCAAGATCTTTTTCCTGGCTAGCAATAGAGAGACTGTTATTGTGAATTAGGGTAGGTTTTGCATTACTTTGTAATTATCAATGTTGAATTTCTTCAACTGTTGCATTATTTACTGATATCTTTTTACTGATCTTTACTGTGAATAATTCAATATCAGCAAAGTATGTCTCCTAATTCTTCACATTCTTTGCATGATCACTTACAAACATTATGGAGTTCTACAGCTATTAAATTTCCTATTACACTGCTAAGTTTATACTCATAATTGCTTCAATGCACTATGAGGAGAGGCATTGTTAAAATGATTTGGTGATTAGCTCATGCTTAATTGTACATTTGTTGATATATTCAAATAAATCCAACAGATTTTAGTCTGAAAGTCATGTTGATTCATTCCCTGTATAACACATTTATTTATTTTTTAATATACTCTCTGTTAATCTGCTCAGTATACAAGCCAGCTTTATCTCCCTGTACTTCACATTTCCTCAGGGGGTTTATTAAGTACCGATGCCACATTTGTCATTTTCTCATCCTTAGGATCTCAGGTGATTTTAAGCAATGATGCACAGTTTGGTCATTTCAAACCATCCTAGGACTGAGTGAAGCAGAACTTACTCATGGTCTGGTAGCTGGATTTTACCTTGTGTTTTGTTGCATTGCTGTGGGAAATTCCAGAGGAAAAGCAGTGCCACACTGCAGGCTTAGCACTTCACCCACCTGCAGATAAGCACACCTTTGCTTTGTACCAATTGCTTTCAAGTCCAGGACTTTTTGGAATTCTTAGGCTACTTATAAAGGCTCAACAGAAAGTAGTAAGAACAGGTACCTCTTGCCAGTGGTCTTAATTGAGTGTATGGTGCACTTCCAACTGAGAGGTTTTAGTGGTCCTTGTGTCAAAAATATGCTGTGTTAGATCCTTTATCAATGCAAGTGTGACAGAACTGGCATGGATTAGTTAATTTTGCTGTGTAAGAAGCTCAGATAGTTGAGCTCATATGCAACTACCTAATTTTCGATGCAACAATAACCAGAAGAACCTTGGGCCATACATGGCCTTGCAGCCAAAAAGGTAGAAGAACAGTATTTCTTCCCTTTCAGAAAACAGTTTGGCTAAACAAAGCTCCCATGCAAGGTGAGCCCTCAGGGGAGAAAACAGAGGTACTGGTGGAGGTCAAACTGCATGGGCCTCCCCTTTCATCCTTCTACCAAGACTCACGCAGGTGAAATTAGGACACAAACTCAGACAGCAGTTCTTTGTCGGAAGGAGAAGATGGGAGATCTTCCAAGCAATTACAATAACTTTGGTCTAGACTCATTTCCTCTTGCTTGTATTTAGATTTAGTCAATTCAAGGGATAAGAAATAAGGATCTGTGGGAGAGGGGTAATTTAACAAAAAGAAAAAACCCACATGCTGAAGTTAATATTGTTTTATACAAGAAAATTTATTTTTGGCCTTCAGAAAGAAAACTGCTTTCAATTTTCTGTCATACTAAAGCCATTTTGCACCATATGGACTTCTGTTCCAGTGTTCAGGCAGGAAATATTTTCTTTCCTATGTAAGATTCATATCTTAGTTTCAGTGATCTCTAAAACTCAGTTGTGATGCTAATATTGCATAAGTTAGACTAAATATTGACCACTAAATATTGGATTGATTTTCTCATCAGAGATTCCATTTCTTTAATGTGCAAATTGTCATGTCGTTGCAAGGAGCCTGTTACAGCACTTTCCCTTCTGCTAGTGCTAGAAACAGAACCAGATTTCGCACCATGGCTTGATCCCAACCTGCTAAGTATGGTGGCAACCCTGCCTGC